CGCCGGCCGGCCGGCCGGCCGGCGGACTATGAAAGCAGCCAATTGGATATCTAACTGAGAGCGAAAATGAGCTAATAAAGATTTTACTATACGAAATAGTCAGCTTTAGTAACCCCAATTCTTCTGAACAGACAATCTGCCCTACAACAAAGCAAATTTGTTCCTGAAATTTCGTAATAATTAACTCTTACCTGTGATATTATTAGTAGGTTAATTGTTTTCTGGCCACTGACATGTTTCCAGTCATTTATGGTGATTATAATAATTGATATATACAATGGAGCCGATAGAAAAGTGGAGACTATAAATATGCACAGAGCCCACATAAAGCAGACGTGGAGAGTCATTGAGTCTGAAAATCGGATTATTAGTGAACTTTTGAAATTTGAAGAAATAACAAATCAACAGGGTGTACTGGACGATAATTTTGATAGATCTGCGCATAGAGGAACCGAATTGTATTTGAAATAATTAATTAAAGTAACACACAAACGCATTGCACAGGGGAGGAAGACGTTCGGGTTGGCATCGATCCTAAACGGTCTGAACCCCTCTGACACCCTCTAGCACTGTTTGACCTCCAATAAGACACCTGCTAATTACCTATTCGCGGATCCAGCAGTACCCAGTCCTTCACCCTCCTACACTGCTTTATCACCACATACCGGGATCTCACCACCCTTTCATGCATCCGTGGGTGTTCACCCATATCGGCGTTCATTTGAAGAGTACTTCATCCAACCGATATCGGCGGTGCAGACATTGAAAAACTGAGAGTTCTTGGTACCTTACACCTTGGAAGTTACCAGATCTAGTCTAGAGGAGGTAGAAAGTTCTCTCAATTCAGATTTTGTCCATTGGGCTTTCCCAATGTGGCGAGCCTAATCTTCGAGCACCCCCTTCCGGCTAGAATCAATTCGGAACAACAATGACAAAAGGCCGAGCAACCGCAGAGAGACTAAATTTCACGGCGTTGATCAACAACACCTGGAGGATTCACACTCTGACTTTCATTCTGAACTGTATTGGAATGGGCAAGCATCCCCTACGCTTTTGGGAGTCAGCAGCCGTACAAATCAGTGCTTTTAGGTTCCTAGATGACTATGGTACTAGCGTTCTGAAAGTAGAAGATCTAATTGACTCAAAGGCTATCAATCCGAATTCAAAACATGATCAAGAGGCTGTAGTGATGCTACATATTCCACTTTTGCCCCATACAGAATCGATACCTAGTAATCACCTAATAACTATCATTACCGAGTTTACGAAGTGAACATAGATGATCCCACAAATAAACGGTATGT